GCAGGAATAGTTCTCTGCCAGTTTCCTTTTCCAGAATATGCATGAATCCAGAAGACAAAGGTACCAGGACTTTTATAGGGAGGCTTTGTTTTGAGGCCTCTGTGACATTTTGGGGTCAGCAGCTCATAGCAAATTTTTGGCACTGTTAAATATGCTTTGATAACAAAGCTGAGGGAGCTGCCAGTTCAAGACTTTCAGGATGTTTAATATCTGCAGGATAGCCTGGTGGGGGTTGATACTGTGGTAAAATACATTTTTTCTTTTTTAAGTTTACAGTTGTAGTGCTTCTTTCACCTTTATGTGTGGATGTTTATTTAGATGAGATTAGAAATTTTAGAGGAAACACATTCTCTAGTGATTCATCTTATGTTCCCTTAAAATGTCACGCATTACACGGGAGTAGTGTAAATGTTATGTTCTGGTTTGGGGACCTGGCTGGCTTTACCATTGATGCCTGGTTGACAATACAGTTTATCCTTTTAATGTTTGAAGTGCATTTTTTTTGTTTCCCCTGAGACACAAAAACAATCGGCAATAAGATGGTTTAGAAGAGAGAACACACATAGAGATGGATGAATTTCCTTCTCTTAGCAGGAGCAACTAAGTCTGTTTCATAGTCAGAGTCTCCCATGGACAAAAGTGTCATGATCTGGGTTTTTGGTGCTACCCAAATAGAATAGCTAGCTAGCCATGACATCCAAACTTCCCCATGATTCTGTGGGTTTTGTGTGAGCTCATCTTTATTTCTTTACTTTTGTTTTTAGGGGGATAGGTATTTGCTATTTATTAGAAAACGTAGCTTGAGTGACCAAAGGACTGATAGCTGTTCTCATGGTGTTAGATGTTTTTAGTATTTCCTGGATTAAGAATATTAGCCAAGGTTACATTTGAAATTATTGTTTGAAAATTTCTGAAAACAGAGACTAATGACACTGTTTTCCATTGTGTTTTGTAAAATTCAGAAAGAAAACTGAATGTATTGCAATTTCTATAAATTTGAACAGCTGTTTGATTCAATCCAGTACATGGGATTAGGAATTTTTCCTTTATTCACAATGGTTAGACCCTGGAATCACTGAAATTAATGAAGTGGAGCTACTTCTGATTTACATCTGTGTAATCTGTATGAGCATATTTTGCAAGTGTTTCATGTCATCCACAGTATCTTTTATTGTTGCATTTACATAGTATATTTATTAATAATTTTTTTGTTCATTTTTATAGATAAAGAAAATCAACAGGAATTTTCCTGTAAACCAGCAGGTAAGTAAGAGGAACATTTGGAAAATTAATAATTCTCATAGTCTCTATTTTGGAATTATTTAATTTTTCTGATTTTTTTCAGAAAAGATAGGGATACTAGCTCTTAATGGGCTTCCCCTTGCACTGGATCACTGAAATAAAGGGTTCTATATATGTTTAAGGAAAGTAGGATTTTTCCCTTTGCCTCTAAAATGAGTCCATGTTTGTTTTTTCTAATAAAAAAAGAGGGGTGAAATTATGATATTTTATATAGTAATATATTGTGTCTTGAAAATGAAGACATTGTGAAGAATTCTCTTCTTTGGTGACATTTTCATTATTAAAACTGGTCTGGATTATAAAAGAACTTCACCTCTCTCTCATTCTTCTAAAAGATTGTTAGGCACTCACGGGAGTAGAGAATTCATTTGTACCACAAGTATCTATAAGACTTTTCTTTTCACTGAAGATGTCAATTCACCTTGGGCATCTTCTTAAACAGTTACTGTAAAATCACTCAGTATTCAGTAGTGTAAAGATTGGTTGCTGATGGATCTGAAAACAGAGAAAGAAAAAACTGCATAGTAAACAACAGATAACAAGCAAGTTAAGGTTGTAATAGAGATTTTTTTTCTGAATTCATCCTTCAACTTTAATTACCAATCAACAAAAACAATAAGGATAAAATAATAGGTATAATGGCTCCATAAGTATGCAATGCTTTCTCTTATATTGGACCTGCTGGCACCAGCAATTAGAATGGCATTTAGTTCCTCTTCATTAGAGTTACATTAGCTTAGAATGCAAAAATAACTTTCTTGACTTGAGTAGCTTGTTGGTTATGCTGTCTGTACAGGAGTTTGCAATCAATGCATTCTTCCCTCATGTCTATCCATCGCTACATGTCAAAGGACTTACTATAGAGAATTTCAGGGAAGAGAGGTACAATATCAATTTGAAAGGAGCTAGACAAATTAGAGAATTTCATATATAGAAAGGAAATAATTTACTGGATGCAGAAATCTGGAAAACTAGTGATATCAAAATCACATATTCGTCTTGTCTTAATTTCAGCAAAGGTTTGGCAGGGGTTGTTTTGTTTTTTAATTGAAGATAAATATCATCTGTTCTTAACTGAATACTGTATGCCCTGGACATACATGGTCAGGAGGAGGGGCTTCCATTGGCCCTAACAGTTGCAGTGAGGAGGGAAGGGTGTGGAAGTCTGGGAGGCACTAAGGCTGGGCGGCCCTGGCCCCAGCCCTTCTGCCCAAGGTCCCACCCCTTCCAGGAGCATGGAGTTGGGCCCTCTCTCTCCTTGCCCAAGGGCTTGGCATAGCTACCCTGTATATATCCTGTATATATTTGGTGAGAAAAAGATTTCAGTCTTTTAATATACAGCTGGCATCAACATGAACTTCAGGGAAGAATCAAGCAATTTTGATGTTCCATTAACAACACATTATTGATCTGCTTCTTAAATTACAGTTTTGTGTATCTTTATCATTTCCACATTTATTTTAGTATTGCCTGTCTGAGGTAGAATAACTATGGAAATATAGGAACTAAATGGTTTGTTTGATAGAAGTACATTATTAATGTGCTTGTGTGAAAAGAAACCATAAACTCTGAAATTGATCTGACTGGGAAATTAGTTTGGGGGATTTTCTTATAATAGCGATAGTGATCAGCACCAACTTCCTATGTTTGTATATGTGTTTATTGGTTTGGTATGCAAACACTTTCAGGGAAATAGCTTCTTTCTTTTATATGTCCTATTAAAAAACCCATTAGCATCCAAGATGCTATAAAGCAGGGGTTCTCAACCTTTTATCTTTCTGAGCTCTCACTCCAATATGCTACAAAAACTTCACAGCTACAAAAATCTCACAGCTATATCAACTGTTGACATCTGTTGGGAGATCAATACAGCAGTACACAGGCAATCCATAAAGTTTTTGGAGAACATTGGGGATAACTTCTTGGTACAAGTGCTGAAGAATCTGACCAGGGGCCATGCGCAACTTGACCTTCTGCTCACAAACAGGGAGGAACTAATAGGGGAAGTAGAGGTGGGTGACAACCTGCGAAGCAGTGATCATGAGATAGTAGATTTCAGGATCCTGACCAAAGGAAGAAAAGAGAGTAGTAAAATACACACCTTGGACTTCAGAAAAGCAGATTTTGACTCCCTCAGAGACCTGATGGGCAGAATCCCCTGGGATGCTAACATGAAGGGGAAAGGAGTCCAGGACAGCTAGCAAAATTTTAAAGAAGCCTTATTGAAGGAAAAGAGAGAAACTATCCCGATGCATAGCAAGAGAGGCAAACATGGTAGGAGACTGGATTGGCTTACAGGGGAAATCCTTGGTGAACTTAAGCACAAAAAGGAAGCTTACAAAAAGTGGAAACTTGGACAAATGACCAGGGAGGGGCTTAAAGGTATAGATCGAGAATGCCAGGGGGGTATCAGGAAGGCGAAAGCGCAAGTGGAATTGCGACTAGCAAAGGATATGAAGGATAACAAGAAAGGTTTCTACAGGCATGTTAACAAGAAGAATGAAGGAGGTAACCTAGTGACAGATAGTGTGGGGAAAGCTGAAGTACTCAATGCTTTCTTTGCTTCTATATTCACGGACAAGGTGGGCTCCCGGACTAATGCGCTAAGTGATGCAAGATGGGATGAAGATGTACAGCCCTTGTGGGTAAAGAACAGGTTAGGAACTATTTAGAAAAACTAAACGTACACAAATCCATGGGTCCGGACTTAATGCATCCAAAGATACTGAGGGAGTTGGCAAATGTCATTGAGGAGCCTTTGGCCATTATCTTTGAAAAGTCGTGGAGATCGGGAGAGATCCTGGATGATTGGAAAAAGGCAAATGTAGTGCCCGTCTTCAAAAAAGGGAAGAAGGACGATCCAGGGAACTATAGGGCGGTCAGTCTTATCTCGGTTCCTGGAAAAATCATGGAAGGGATCCTTAAGGAATCCATTTTCAGGCACTTGGAAGAGAGGAAAGTGATCAGGAATAGTCAGCATGGATTCACAAAGGGCAAGTTGTGCCTGACCAATCTGATTAGCTTCTATGATAAGGTAACTGGCTCTGTGGACATGGGAAAGTCAGTGGATGATCTGGAGCAAAGTGTAGACGTTATTCCTTGACTTTAGCAAGGCTTTTGATATGGTCTCCCACAATATTCTTGCCAGCAAGTTAAGGGATTGTGGATTGGATAAATAGACGGTAAGATGGATAGAAAGATGGCTAGAAGGCCGGGCCCAGCGGGTAGTGATCAATGGCTCGTTGTCAGGATGGTGGTCAGTTTCTAGTGGAGTGCTCCAAGGTTCGGTGCTGGGAACGGTTTTATTCAATATCTTTATTAATGACCTGGATGAGGGGATGGATTGCACCCTCAGCAAGTTTGCAGATGACACTAAGCTAGAGGGAGAGGTAGATATGCTTGGGGGCAGAGATAGGGTCCAGAGTGACTTAGACAAATTGGAGGATCGGGCCACAAGAAATCTGATGAAGTTCAACAAGGAGAAGTGCAGAGTCCTACACTTAGAACGGAAGAATCCGGAGCATAGTTACAGCCTGGGGACCAACCAGCTAAGTAGTAGTTCTGCAGAAAAGGACCTGCGGGTTACAGTGGATGAGAAGCTGGATATGAGTCAACAGTGTGCCCTTGTAGCCAAGAAGGCTAATGGCATATTAGGGTGCATTAGGAAGAGCATTGCCAACAGATCCAGAGAAGTGATTATTCCCCTTTATTTGGCTTTGGTGAGGCCACATCCGGAGTATTGTATCCAGTTCTGGGCCCCCCACTACAAAAAGGATGGGGATGCATTGAAGAGGGTCCAGCGGAGGGCAACCAAAATGATTATGGGGCTGGAGCATATGACCTATGAGGAGAGGCTGAAGGATTTGGATCTGTTTAGTCTGGAGAAGCAAAGAGTGAGGGGGGATTTGATAGTAGACTTCAACTTCCTGAAGGGAGGTTCCAAAGAGGGTGGAGAAACGCTATTCTCAGTAGTGACAAATGGCAGAACAAGGAGCAATGGTCTCAAGTTGTGGTGGGAGAGGTCCAGGTTGGATATTAGGAAAAACTATTTCACTAGGAGAGTGGTGAGGCATTGGAATGGATTACCTAGGGAAGTAATGGAGTCTCCATCCCTAGAGGTGTTTAAGTCTCGGCTTGACAGAGCCATGGCTGGGTTGATTTAGGTGGGATTGGTCCTGCCTAGAGCAGGGGCTGGACTTGATGACCTTCTGAGGGCTCTTCCAGCTCTATGGTTCTATGATTCTATACTTTGTGGCTTTCAAAATCATTTGTAAAATTCAAAATGTTTTGCTGAATATATAAAGTGAGTATCAAAATAATATTGCTAGTTTTCCATACGTAGATAGTTACTTTTTCATAACTATTCTTTGCTAAAATTTCAGCCACCAAAATAACTGACTTTATTTATTTTTGACATTATTAATACTTCAACTGTGTATAAATCAGTTGACTTTTTCATCTCTTTATCTGTGTTTACACAGAATTTTCCCTTGGCACTGCAATTCGCAAACATATTAGGTATTTATTTTTCATGGTGTAAAAATAATCACACAGATGTGCACTTTCTTAAAATACAGAATGTGAAACTCATTTAAAGTAGCTGAGTTGATGCCAGAAGTTTACTTTGTAAAAACTAGAGGGGGGCAGTCATTATCATTAAATGTGATGAAATATATGTGTATTAGAATATAATTTTATAAAGCCTATAGCTAAAATAGTGTTAGCCTGTTTTGGACAGAACAGCTATCTAAAAATTTTGGCTCGCTTAGATTGTTCCAGTTAGGCAGAACAATTGGTGATAGGTATTTCTTTGTTTCATTTCTGTTTACTAACAAAGAATATGCACAGTCCATAGAAGGCATCAAATATCAGGAAACTGCTTCTTTTATGGTAGCACCAGGAACACTCTTTTCAGTCTGGACCCCTTTTGCAAAAGCCTTACCCCAGCATCAGACATTGTG